AGTTTTAAGTGCGCGCTCACGCTGATTTTTATGGCAGTTAAATAAAAAGGCATGCTGGTTTTTGGGGTCTTTTTGGATCCCTGTAGGAATGATGCGTGTGGTAGGGGTATCTCCACACACCTCAGGTTCTGATTATGGGCTACGATACGATTTTAAAACCATTATCGATGCATCTGGATACTTTATTTCTATATATGATTTCTGTTTTCTCACTGTGGGACTACTTGTTCCTTTTACTGCTGTATATGTAATGATCCATACTTAATATAATTAGATTAATTTACTTGTGTTATGATGGAAAGATGAATGGACTGCACTTATAGTGCCTCTCCTGTCTTCTGACAACTCAAAGTACTTTCCACTACCTGCCAACCATTCACACAAACAGAAACTAATTCATCCACAAACACAGTCACAGCATCGTGAGCAAATTGGGGTTTAGTATCTTGCTCAATGGGCTGGGGATCGAACCACAAACCCTCTGAACCCGCTCTACCTCCTGAGCCACAGCCGCCCTTTGAACTGGAAGAAATGTGCCAACTGGAGGGTTACATTTGCCAACATAGCTAAATTAACAATAAATTAATAGTGCACAGATTTCAGGATGTTGATAAACAACTGCGGCTGGACGTACATGTTCTCGTCCAGTCGGTACGTGCCTCTTGGGTTAGCTTGTGCACCATTTCGTTACAGGCGTTAATAATGAGATTTACTGAGAATTTAGTTTTGAATTTATTACAATTATTGACTTTTCTGCATCGTAATTGTTCAAGCGAGAATCACGATGCATCTGAGAATTGAATTTTTCTTCCACCCCTACCACGTGGCAAATGATGAATTAGATGTAAAAAGGTCAAGAAATCAAGAAATAATCAGCAAAAACGTTGGCAAATCTTGTGTGACCTGTTGGCGAGAATTTACCAAACATACGATTTATAAGCTTATTAGTTTAGTTTGGCATTTCTATAGGCTAAATCATTTTCAGGACAACTTACAGTGAATATAACTCTAAATAGCCTAAATTAAAATGTCTATACCCAAAATTACATGCAATCAATCATTAACACACATACTGTGATGCAAAAAAAAAGTGAATTATTGGGATTATCTGACAGAATCTGTTCTAAAAAGGTTATTTTTAAAGGTTTAAACAAATACTAGCATATACAAAGTAAAGCTACCAACCAGATTAAGATTCAAGACTCCCGAAAAAGTGACAACCCACCTTAGTGACTTTATGATCTGAACAATGTGTTTATATCGTATTTATTGCTGTGAATGCAAAGAGACAGACCTAACTGTTGGTTAAGAAAAAAAACCAATAAATCCACCCTCCCGCCTAGCGATTTTAGCTTTGCTCAGGGGCTGAGAACCGTTAAACCAACCACTGGAAACCAACTTCTTGTGCCACTGAACACAGGTCAATGCTTTACACTGCAGTCCACCAACTGAGCTCTCTTTATGCAAATCAGCTCGCCTCCCGGGCCAATCACACCTCCTGTGCGTAAAAGCCACACTCAGCATCAGCCAATGAGTTTAGTTAATGTAACTGAGGTGAAGGTGTTTTTTTTTTGTTTTTTTTTTACTGAATGGTATGTCACATAGAGAGAGAGAGAGAGAGAGAGAGAGAGAGAGAGAGAGAGACACACACACACACAGAGAGAGAGAGAGTTAAAACAGTTAAAGACTTTAAAGGGAATCATTATAATAATTCAGTTATGCTTCCAGACAGTTATTCTTTCCACATCCTCTGTTGTCACTTGTCCCCCACTTTGATGTCACTCTCATGTTTATTTCCTTGTAGTTTATCATAGACTGATACTACTGAGAGACGCTTGTGATCTTACAGGATTTAGGGTCCATGTGTCATCCATTCATTAAATCATTCCATTCAATGTGGAAAAAACTGACAAAAGAGATGTTTTTTTGTCCTTTCCTGCAGGCGTCTAAAAGTAAAAATATTTTCCTGTTTTTATCTAAAGTGTATGATTTGTAGTAATTTATATGATGAATTGTTTGAAGTTTCCAGCCAGGATGCTTTTTCATCGCTCCTCTTTAAAAGTTCAAAGTTACTTTCTTAAATTTGCTTAAGAAATACAGTCCTTTCTGTGCTTCCTTAACCAGGAAGGAGACGTGAGATGACCATGACACGTTGTTATTTTGATTCCCAGGAAGCTAAAACTGTTCACCTGCTCCACATCAGCTCCACTGATGTAAATAGGGGAGTGTGCTTTTGCTTACTTTGTCCTTGATTTTGCTGATACTGAGCAGTAGGTTGTCAGTCCACAAGATTGTTGATTTCTTATATACAGATATTTACTGTATGTAATAAATCAACAAACTTGCTTATTTTTCTATATTAAAATTTAATAGTATTAGTATTTATTCCTTTTTCAACTTCTCCATAGAGGACCAACTAGCTGCATATACTACAGGCTGTGTGTGAGTGTGTGTGTGTGTGTGTGTAAGTGGGAGTGGGAGAGATCATAATTTATTTGTAGTCATAATCGGTGTATAGTTGTCACAAACAATAATAGGCCCAGATTACAGTACACATAAATTAGCTACAGTAAGTTCTTTACTTTTTCAAGCAAGCTCAATGAGACA